ACGAGTGACGTCACAGAGCAGCGCGTTTTAGTGCATTAGGCGGACGACCTGAGAGTAGGGAGTTAAGTGGATGGGTGAGTGGGTGGGTGGGTGAGTGGGTGGGTGAGTGGGTGGGTGGGTGAGTGTTTGGCTGGGTGGGTGCGTGTGGGTGAGTGGATGAGTCAGTGGGTGGGTGAGCGAGTGGGTGGGTGAGTAGGTGGGTGAGTGGGTGTATAATTGTATATATGTATTATAACATATGAGTGTGTGTGCGTATATGAGTGTGTATATGAGTGTGTGTGTGTGTGTATATGAGTGTGTATATGAGTGTGTATATGAGTGTGTATATGAGTGTGTGTATGTGAGTGTGTGTGGGTGTATATGAGTGTGTGTGTATATGTATATGAGTGTGTATATGAGTGTGTATATGAGTGTGTGTGTGTATATGAGTGTGTGTGTGTATATGTGTGTGTGTGTATATGAGTGTGTGTGTGTATATGAGTGTGTATATGAGTGTGTATATGAGTGTGTGTATATGAGTGTGTATATGAGTGTGTGTGTGTATATGAGTGTGTATATGAGTGTGTATATGAGTGTGTATATGAGTGTGTATATGAGTGTGTATATGAGTGTGTGAGTGTATGTATATGAGTGTGTGTGTATATGTATATGAGTGTGTATATGAGTGTGTATATGAGTGTGTATATGAGTGTGTATATGAGTGTGTATATAAGTGTGTATATGAGTGTGTGTGTATATGTATATGAGTGTGTATATGAGTGTGTGTGTATATGAGTGTGTATATGAGTGTGTATATGAGTGTGTATATGAGTGTGTATATGAGTGTGTATATAAGTGTCTATATGAGTGTGTGTACCCACGTACACATTACAAAGTGCTTAACATACATCGGCATAAAGTGCAGCTACGATCCCTACGTAGCCCTCCGTCGCCATCTTCCCCACTCGGGTCAATGCAGATGGGTGAGACGAGTGGGCGGTACCAACTCTTCCCCGACCGTCTTTGTCTCTCTTCCACCCCACCTCCCGTATTCACCACGTGCTCATTTAAGGCTGAGTCGACCTAGGGGGGAGGTCGGTTTGGCTACACGGCCGCTAGCTCGTTCACTCACACGGACATGTAAATACTTGACGTGAAGCACGTGACACTGCATTGCTACTGCCCGCGTCCACAGAGTTCTGCAATCCTCTACGTGTGAAGCTACTTGTCCCCCACCCCCCCCCCCCCCCCACCAACTCCCAATCCCGCCCTTGCTTCTAGAACGTGGGCGCAGTGCGAGGGAGCAACACGCTATCGCCAAAACATCCACGCCACCCCACGTACAGGTGGAACGGATGGAGATTAGTCCACCCACGGGTGAAGAATAAGGTGGAGCAGATGAAGATTAGTCCACCCACGGGTGTAGAGGAAGATGGAACAAATGGAGATTGGGACATCTTCACATGAATCCGCGACTTGAAGGTGGCGTTGCTTGTTTAAAAAAATGGCTATTGGCACGACATTAAACACAATTTTTGCATATATATAAAACACGGACGTTAAAGAGTCTAAAGTAATCAGATTACTTCCATTGCTATGGCTCTCTCCATTCAGAGATGAGGTTTGTAGTGTCTGCGATATTGCATCAGCCCCGAATCTGTGTCTGTCTTTGTGTGTCTCTGTGTCTCTGTCTGTGTCTCTGTCTGTGTGTGTGTCTTTGTCTGTGTGTGTCTGTGTGTGTCTCCGTGTCTGTGTGTGTCTCTGACTGTGTGTCTATGTGTGTGTCTCTGTGTGTGTGTCTGTGTGTGTCTATGTGTGTGTGTTCCTCCAGAAACAACGAAAAGCCACTACGGATGGCCATGTGGAATGATCGAACACTCACTGCGGAGGAGAGGCTGCCACTCCTCTGTCGGGAGCTGGACCGGTACCACCTGGATCTCTGTGGCATTCAGGAGGTCCGGTGGACCGGTTCTGGCTCCTGCCACCATGAGGGGTGGACAGTCCTCTACTCGGGGCAGCAGACTGCCAAACAACAGGGTGTGGCTCTTCTTTTGAACAAAAGAATGAAGGGGGCGTGGGAGCGTGGCGGTGAGGTGTGGGAAGCTGTAAGCCCCAGGCTACTTTGGGTTCGCCTTCCCATCAACCGGAGGCGAGGAGTGGTGGTCGTGGTTACTTATGCCCCCACCGAAGACGAACATCCGTGGAGGGATGCAGGCAAGGCCGATGAGTCAGATGCCTTCTATGACCTCCTGTCACAGGTGCTGGCTAAAGTGGCCCCTCGGGATAGAGTCATCATGTTGGGTGACTTCAATACCCGAGTTGGTCATGATGCTGGCACCTGGTCTGGAGTGATTGGAGGGCATGGGCCAGATCAGCTCAATAACAACGGTAGGAGGCTGCTAGATTTTTGTGCAGCCCATGGGCTTGTAATTACCAACACGCTGTACCGGCATCGGCGCATCCACACAACATCATGGATGCATGCCGGGTCCAAGCAAGAACATCTGCTAGACTACATAGTGACGGACCAGCGGATGCGAGCCCATGTCCTTGACACCAGGACCTACCGTGGAGCTGATCTGCCCTCTGACCATCGACTAGTCATCTGTAAGATGCGCCTGCCATTCTTCCACTCCGGTGGTGGGTGTACACCCAGGACCCCATTCCAACCTAAAGTGGCCTGGTCTCAGTTATCTGATGAAAGTTGCAAGCGAGAATTTCATCATCGCTTGCGGCTGGGATTGGCATCGTCCCCGACTCCTCCTGATGTCGAGGGTAAATGGGCGAGGTTTAGGACTGTGACTCATGCAGCTGCAATGGCTGCTTTGAGTACGCGGTCCAGACCTCCCCAGAGACCCTGGCTGACAGAGGAGGTGTTCAGGATGGTTGAGAAAAAGCGACAGGCCCACTGTCATCGGCTACAGAATCCCCTATGTGTGTGTGGCTGTGTGTGTCTGTAGCTATGTCTGTGTGTGTGTCTGTAGCTATGTGTGTGCCTGTGTGTCTATGTGTGTGTGTGTCTATGTGTGTGTGTGTCTATAGCTATGTGTGTCTATGTGTGTGTGTGTATCTGTGTCTGTAGCTATGTCTGTGTGTGTGTGTATCTGTAGCTATGTGTGTGTGTCTGTGTGTATCTGTAGTTATGTGTGTGTGTCTGTGTGTGTCTTTAGCTATGTCTGTGTGTGTGTGTCTGTGTGTGTGTCTGTCTGTGTCGACATCATTACCACGACTACAATGGTCCAATGAAGGCGACACAACGCCGTCTCTGACTCAGCGTTGTACCATGCTCTGTCTCAGCGTTGTACCATACTCTGTCTGTCTCAGCGTTGTACCATACTCTGTCTGTCTCAGCGTTGTACTTTACTCTGTCTGTCTCAGCGTTGTACCGTGCTCTGTCTCAGCGTTGTACCATACTCTGTCTGTCTGAGCGTTGTACCATGCTCTGTCTGTCTCAGCGTTGTACCGTGCTCTGACTCAGCGTTGTACCGTGCTCTGTCTGTCTGAGCGTTGTACCATGCTCTGTCTGTCTCAGCGTTGTACCGTGCTCTGTCTGTCTGAGTGTTGTACCGTGCTCTGTCTGTCTCAGTGTTGTACCGTGCTCTGTCTGTCTGAGTGTTGTACCGTGCTCTGTCTGTCTCAGCGTTGTACCGTGCTCTGTCTGTCTGAGCGTTGTACCGTGCTCTGTCTGTCTGAGCGTTGTACCATGCTCTGTCTGTCTGAGCGTTGTACCATGCTCTGTCTGTCTCAGCGTTGTACCGTGCTCTGTCTCAGCGTTGTACCGTGCTCTGTCTGTCTGAGTGTTGTACCATACTCTGTCTGTCTGAGTGTTGTACCATGCTCTGTCTGTTTGAGCGTTGTACCGTGCTCTGTCTGTCTGAGCGTTGTACCATGCTCTGTCTGTCTCAGCGTTGTACCATGCTCTGTCTGTCTCAGTGTTGTACCGTGCTCTGTCTGTCTGAGCGTTGTACCATACTCTGTCTGTCTCAGTGTTGTACCATGCTCTGTCTGTCTCAGTGTTGTACCGTGCTCTGTCTGTCTGAGCGTTGTACCATACTCTGTCTGTCTGAGCGTTGTACCATGCTCTGTCTGTCTGAGCGTTGTACCATGCTCTGTCTGTCTCAGTGTTGTACCCTGCTCTGTCTGTCTCAGCGTTGTACCGTGCTCTGTCTGTCTGAGTGTTGTACCGTGCTCTGTCTCAGCGTTGTACTTTACTCTGTCTGTCTGAGCGTTGTACCATACTCTGTCTGTCTCAGCGTTGTACCATACTCTGTCTGTCTGAGCGTTGTACCATACTCTGTCTGTCTGAGCGTTGTACCATACTCTGTCTGTCTCAGCGTTGTACCATACTCTGTCTCAGCGTTGTACCGTGCTCTGTCTGTCTCAGTGTTGTACCATGCTCTGTCTGTCTCAGTGTTGTACCATGCTCTGTCTGTCTCAGCGTTGTACCATACTCTGTCTGTCTGAGTGTTGTACCGTGCTCTGTCTGTCTCAGTGTTGTACCGTGCTCTGTCTGTCTCAGTGTTGTACCATGCTCTGTCTGTCTCAGCGTTGTACCATACTCTGTCTGTCTCAGCGTTGTACCGTGCTCTGTCTGTCTGAGTGTTGTACCGTGCTCTGTCTGTCTCAGTGTTGTACCATGCTCTGTCTGTCTCAGTGTTGTACCATACTCTGTCTGTCTCAGTGTTGTACCATGCTCTGTCTGACTCAGCGTTGTACCGTGCTCTGTCTGTCTCAGCGTTGTACCATGCTCTGTCTGTCTGAGTGTTGTACCATGCTCTGTCTGTCTCAGCGTTGTACCATGCTCTGTCTGTCTCAGTGTTGTACCATGCTCTGTCTGTCTGAGTGTTGTACCATACTCTGTCTGTCTGAGTGTTGTACCGTGCTCTGTCTGTCTCAGTGTTGTACCATGCTCTGTCTGTCTCAGCGTTGTACTTTACTCTGTCTGTCTCAGCGTTGTACCATGCTCTGTCTGTCTCAGTGTTGTACTTTACTCTGTCTGTCTCAGCGTTGTACCATGCTCTGTCTGTCTCAGTGTTGTACCGTGCTCTGTCTGTCTCAGTGTTGTACCCTACTCTGTCTCAGCGTTGTACCGTGCTCTGTCTGAGTGTTGTACCATACTCTGTCTGTCTCAGCGTTGTACCCTACTCTGTCTCAGCGTTGTACCGTGCTCTGTCTGAGCGTTGTACCGTGCTCTGTCTGTCTCAGTGTTGTACCATGCTCTGTCTGTCTCAGTGTTGTACCGTACTCTGACTCAGCGTTGTACCGTGCTCTGTCTGTCTCAGTGTTGTACCGTGCTCTGTCTGTCTCAGTGTTGTACCGTGCTCTGTCTGTCTCAGTGTTGTACCGTGCTCTGTCTGAGCGTTGTACCGTGCTCTGTCTGTCTCAGTGTTGTACCATGCTCTGTCTGTCTCAGTGTTGTACCGTACTCTGACTCAGCGTTGTACCGTGCTCTGTCTGTCTCAGTGTTGTACCATGCTCTGTCTGTCTCAGTGTTGTACCGTGCTCTGTCTGTCTCAGCGTTGTACCGTGCTCTGTCTGTCTGAGCGTTGTACCATACTCTGTCTGTCTCAGCGTTATACCATACTCTGTCTGACTCAGCGTTGTACCATACTCTGTCTGTCTCAGTGTTGTACCATGCTCTGTCTGTCTCAGTGTTGTACCATGCTCTGTCTGTCTCAGTGTTGTACCATAGTCTGTCTGTCTCAGTGTTGTACCATACTCTGTCTGTCTCAGTGTTGTACCATACTCTGTCTGTCTCAGTGTTGTACCATACTCTGTCTGTCTGAGTGTTGTACCGTGCTCTGTCTGACTCAGTGTTGTACTTTACTCTGTCTGTCTCAGTGTTGTACCATACTCTGTCTGTCTCAGCGTTGTACCATACTCTGTCTGTCTCAGTGTTGTACCATACTCTGTCTGTCTGAGTGTTGTACCGTGCTCTGTCTGTCTGAGTGTTGTACCGTGCTCTGTCTGTCTCAGTGTTGTACCGTGCTCTGTCTGTCTGAGCGTTGTACCATGCTCTGTCTGTCTCAGCGTTGTACCGTGCTCTGTCTGTCTGAGTGTTGTACCGTGCTCTGTCTGTCTCAGCGTTGTACCGTGCTCTGTCTGTCTGAGCGTTGTACCGTGCTCTGTCTGTCTCAGCGTTGTACCGTGCTCTGTCTGTCTCAGTGTTGTACCATGCTCTGTCTGTCTCAGTGTTGTACCGTACTCTGTCTGTCTGAGTGTTGTACCGTGCTCTGTCTGTCTGAGTGTTGTACCGTGCTCTGTCTGTCTGAGTGTTGTACCGTGCTCTGTCTGTCTCAGCGTTGTACCATACTCTGTCTCAGTGTTGTACCGTGCTCTGTCTGTCTCAGCGTTGTACCGTGCTCTGTCTGTCTGAGTGTTGTACCGTGCTCTGTCTGACTCAGCGTTGTACCATGCTCTGTCTGTCTCAGTGTTGTACCATGCTCTGTCTGTCTCAGTGTTGTACCGTGCTCTGTCTGTCTCAGTGTTGTACCATACTCTGTCTGTCTCAGCGTTGTACCATGCTCTGTCTGTCTGAGTGTTGTACCGTGCTCTGTCTGTCTGAGTGTTGTACCGTGCTCTGTCTCAGCGTTGTACCATGCTCTGCTTACACGGCCCATGCCGACATACACAGAGGAGATATAAAGTGGCGAGGCTAAAATTCACACTCGGCATCACCATCAACATCACCATCAGCACCACCCACCACGTGGCCTCTCTCCCGCCCGCGGGAGTTGAGGTCACGTGGCTGTAGTGGGCGGGGCGACCTCTCGCCTACTGAATATTCATGAGGCTGTTGAATATTCATGAGGCGCTCTGCAGAAAGCATAATTAATATGCATTAGTTGCATGTTGAATATTCATGAGGTTACATCGCGAGACCCATCATTAATATTAGTTAGGGTGTCGAATATATGTTGACGAAATTAATTCAATACCCATTAGGGGCGTTTTAATATGAATTAGAGTGGTCTTATATATAGAGAGGAGCGGTCGCAATGATTAATATTCATTAGGGGTGTTTAGATATTAATTAGGGGGCGGGGAAATATATATTTATTTATTTATTGTGCCAGATTCATGAATATTCATTAGCCTCACAGAGTCCTGCGGGTCGATCCTAGGGCTCGATCTGGGGGTGGATTTGTGCGTCTCAGGCGCTAGGGGGCGTCTCGTGGAGCTTAAGGTGAGCCTTCAGGTTGCTCGAACTGCTGAAGCGCTTGGAACAAACCTGGCGGGGTGGGGCACAGAGTGGGGAGCACGGGGAGGAAACGGGCGCAGGAGGAGCGGAGGCGCAGCGGTTAGCACAGCGCCGGGACACCACGTGGTCACTCACTCGGTCACTCATTCAGTCACTCACCCATTGATCCACTCACCCACCCACCCACTCACCTACTCACCCACCCACACACTCATCCACCCACCTACTCACCCACCAACACACTCACCCACCCACACACTCATCCACCCACACACTCATCCACCCACACACTCATCCACCCACCTACTCACCCACCCACACACTCATCCACCCACCTACTCACCCACCAACACACTCACCCACACACTCATCCACCCACACATTCATCCACCCACACACTCATCCACCCACCTAGTCACCCACCCACACACTCATCCACCCACCTACTCACCCACCAACACACTCACCCACCCACACACTCATCCACCCACACACTCATCCACCCACACACTCATCCACCCACCTACTCACCCACCAACACACTCATCCACCCACACACTCATCCAGCCACCCACCCACGCACTCACCCACCCACCAACTCCCCCACCCACCCAATCAACCACTCACTCACCCATTCACTCACCCACCCACCGACTCATCCACCCACCCTCTCACCCATCAACTCAGCCAGCCACTCACTCACCCACCCACTCACCCACCCACTTACCCACTCACCCACCAACCCACCCACCCACCCAACCACCCACTCACTGAATAACCCACCCACTCACCTACCCACCCACTCACCCACCCAACCACCCACTCACTGACTAACCCACCCACTCACCTACCCACTCACCCACTCACCCACCAACCCACCCACCCACCCAACCACCCACTCACTGACTAACCCACCCACTCACCTACCCATCCACTCACCCACCCAACCACCCACTCACTGACTAACCCACCCACTCACCTACCCACTCACCCACTCACCCACCAACCCACCCACCCACCCAACCACCCACTCACTGAATAACCCACTCACTGAATAACCCACCCACTCACCTACCCACCCACTCACTCACCCACTTACCCACTCACCCACCAACCCACCCACTCACCTACCCACCCACTCACCCATCCACCCACCCTCTCACCCACTCACCAACCCACCCACTCACCTACCCACCCACTCACCCACCCACTCACCCACCCACCCACCCACTCACCAGGCAGGGGTGAGGTCTCTCCCCCGTGTGGACGAGCTGGTGTTTCTGGAGGTGAGCCATCTGCGTGAACCTTTTGGTACAGAGCGAGCATCCAAAGGGTCGCTCGCCGCTGTGCACTCGGAGGTGAGCCTAGAGGGGGTGGGGATGGGGGCGAGTGGGGGGGAAGGGGGGATGGGGGTGGGTCGGTTGGTGGAGGGCAATCACACACACAAACTCACTCACACACTCACTCACACACTCACTCACACACTCACTCACACATTCACTCATACACTCACTCACAACTCACTCACTCACAAACTCACACTCACTCACACACTCACTCACACACTCACTCACTCACTCAAACACTCACTCAAACACTCACACACACACTCACACACACACTTACACACTCACTCACACACTCACTCACACACTCACACACTCACTCATTCACTCACAAACTCACACTCACTCACTCACACACTCACTCACACACTCACTCACAAACACACTCACTCATTCACTCACACACTCAACAACAACAACAACCGCCATTCGCCACTAAGTGGCGGTGACGTCACCACGACGCTTGTGCCAGGACATGTGCACCTTGAGGCCACGTGAAGTGTCGAACGTCCGCTGGCAGGAGGTCACGGGGCAGACCCAGGTGCCACGGGTCGACTGACTGAGATGACTGGCTGATGCACCACCTGTGCCCCCTACTGTGCCAACCCGCTGTTCTTCAGCCACCCGGCGCTCCGCTCGTTGTTCTGAGCGTCGCTCCTCCGCCCTCCGTTATTGTTGAAGGGCGACTGCCTACAACTGCCCTGTAGCGTCCTTCACGAGCCTCCTCCACAGAGGCCGATCTTGACACCGCTGGTACCAGTCATCGGCAAGTCCACTCAGCTCCACATCCTCCTGTACCACATCACTCCATTTCTTCTCTAGCCCGTGCCGCGCCCGTTTAGCCCCCTCGATCCGGCCGAACAAAAGCTGTTTCGGCATGCGGTGGCTGGGCATGCGGGCTACATGACCCAGCCATCGCAGCCTTGCCTGCCGGAGGAGCTCACCGATGGGACCGTGCCCAGATCTTTCAAGGATTTGTGAGCTCCTGACACAATCCAGCCTGATTAAACCCAGGATGGATCGTAGGCAGGCCAGCCTAAATGTTTCTAACCAGCGAAGATGTTCCATTAGGGGGTCCATATTTCGCAAGCGTAGAGAAGGGAGGGAATGACCGTGGCTGAGAAGACCTGAAGCTTAGTGCGGAGTGACAGACCAGGTAGCTTCCACACAGCATTACGCAACCGATGAAAAGATATTGCCGCTCGACTGATTCGGAGTGAGACCTCTGCTGTTAAACTGGAGCCGGTCATAAGCACACTGCCCAGGTATAGAAAACTCTCCATTCTCTCCACAACTGCCCCATCACCGATTGGGAGTTGTGGGGTGGAGTGTCCGATGGTTCAAAAGAACCAGGCAGGTGCTTAGTTTTAGTGGGGCTGATGGTAAGGCCCCATCTCTTAGTAGCATGCTCCAGTCTCAGCAGCAGCGTCTCCAACTCCTCCTCTGAATGAGCAGCTATTACCAAATCATTGGCATACATAACGTGGTTGAGCAATAGGGAGCCATCCCTTGACCGCACCCGGGCATCGATCAGCCTCCCATTATATCTGTACCATATGGAAATTTACCCGCTACAGCTATTGAAGGTTTCACGAACTACGTGGTGGAAATAGATGTTAAATAATGTGGGAGCCAGAGGACATCCCTGTCGCACCACAAGGTGTACAGGGAATGGCTCTGACTCCCGGCCACGTAGTTTTACCCGGGCCCGTTCACCATCATGAAGGTCCTTAATGATCGTGAGCAGAGGGTCAGGTACTCCAAAAGCACGAAGAACAACCCAGAGTCCAGGCCTACTGATGGTATCATAGGCCTTGATCAGGTCAATAAAGCAGAGATGTAGGTCTTGCTGGAATTCCCTACACCTCTGCTGTAGCAGACGGACAGAAAATATGGCTTCTGTGCAGGACCGCCTTTTCCTGAAACCGCATTGGGGCTCCGCAAGTTCCACACTCGCACACACACTCATACACTCACTCACACACTCACACTCACTCACACACTCACTCACACTCACTCACACTCACACACTCACTCACACACTCACAAACTCACACAATCACTCACTCACACTCACTCACTCACACTAACTCACTCACACACTCACACACTCACCTCACACACTCACTCACACACTCACACACACACTCACTGACACACTGACACACTCACTCACAAACTCACTCACTCACACACTCAATCACACACTCACTTGCTCACTCCCTCATTCACTTATTCGCTCACCGACCCACCCACAAATTCATCCACACCACGCATCACCCACTCACCCACCCACTCACCCACCCACTCACCCACCTAACCACCCACTCACTCAACGACTCACCCACCAACCCACTCACAAACCCACCCACTCACTCACCCACCCATCACCCACTCACCCACATAACCACCCACTCACTGACCGACTCACCCACCCACTCACTCACTCACCGACCCACCCACCAACCCACTCACTATCCCATCACCCACTCACCCACCCACTCACCCACCTACCCACCCACTCACCCACTCACTCACCGACCCAACCACCAACCTACTCACTATTCCATCACCCACCCACTCACCCACGCACTCACCTACCTACCCACCCACCCACTCACTCACCCACTCACTCACCGACCCACCCACCAACCCACTCAACAACCCACTCACTATCCTCACTCACCCACCCCACCCATTACCCACCAACTCACCCACCCAGCCGCTCACCCACCCACCCATTCACCCACCAATACACCCACGCACTCATCCACCTACCCACCAACTTACTCACCAACCCACCCACCAACCCACTCACCAACCCACCCACCAACCCACCCACCAACCCACCCACTCACTCACCAACCCACTAACCAACCCACCCACCAACCCAATCACTATCCCATCACCCACTCACCCACCCACCCACTCACCCACCCACCCACTCACCCACCCACTCACCCACTCACCAACTCACTCATTATCCCATCACCCACTCACCCACCCACTCACCCACTCACCCACCCACTCACCCACTCACTCACCGACCCACCCACCAACCTACTCACTTTCCCATCACCCACTCACCCACCCACTCACCAACCCACTCACCAACTCACTCATTATCCCATCACCCACTCACCCACCCACTCACCCACCCACTCACCCACTCACCCACCAACCCACTCACTTTCCCATCATCCACTCACCCACCCACTCACCCACCCACTCACCAACCCACCCACCAACCAACTCACTAACCAACCCACTCACCCACTCACCCACTCACTCACCCACTCACTCACCAACCCACTCACTATCCCATCACCCACTCACCCACCCACTCACCCACCTACTCACCCACTCACTCACTCACTCACCCACCAACCCACTCACTATCCCATCACCCACTCACCCACCCACTCACCCACCCACTCATCCACTCACCAACCCACCCACCAACCAACTCACCAACCAACTCACTCACCAACCCACCCACCAACCAACTCACTAAACAACCCACTCACCCACTCACCCACTCACTCACCCACTCACTCACCAACCCACTCACTATCCCATCACCCACTCACCCACCCACCCACTCACCCACCTACCCACCCACTCACTCACCGACCCACTCACCGACCCACTCACCGACTCACCCACCCACTCACCCACCAACCCACCCACTATCCCATCACCCACTCACCCACCTACTCACCCACTCACTCACTCGCTCACCCACCAACCCACTCACTATCCCATCACCCACTCACCACCCACTCACCCACCCACTCATCCACTCACCAACCCACCCACCAACCAACTCACCAACCAACCCACTCACCAACCCACCCACCAACCCACTCACTATCCCATCACCCACTCACCCACCCACTCACCCACTCACCCACTCACTCACTCACCCACTCACTATCCCATCACCCACTCACCCACTCACCCACTCACCCACCCACTCACCCACCCACCCACTCACCCACTCACCAACCCACTCACCAACTCACTCATTATCCCATCACCCACTCACCCACCCACTCACCCACCCACTCACCCACTCACCCACTCATCCACTCACCAACCCACCCACCAACCAACTCACCAACCAACCCACTCACCAACCCACCCACCAACCCACTCACTATCCCATCACCCACTCACCCACCCACTCACCCACTCACCCACTCACTCACTCACCCACTCACTATCCCATCACCCACTCACCCACTCACCCACCCACCCACTCACCCACCCACCTTGAGGTTCGACAGCTGACTGAAGACTCGACAGCAGACGTTGCATTCGTAGGCCAGGCGACCGCTCCTCAGTGGCAAGGGGTAGGGGTGAGCGCTCCTCGGCCTCCTCGCACTCAGATCCAGAGCGGCATCCTCACCACCACCACGCTCACCACCACGCTCACCACCACGCTCACCACCACGCTCACCAGCAGCGGGAGTGAGGCTCTGAGTGTCCGACTCGCTCCAGTGGACGTGGTGATGATGATGATGATGGAGGTTGTGGTGATGTTGCGGTGGTGATGGTGGCGATGTCGGTGGTGACAGCGGTAGCAGCGGCGGCGGTGATGAAGTAGAGGATGGTGGAGGCGTTGGGCAGAGGGGCAGGACGATGTAGGTGGGTGGTGGTGACGGTGACGGTGGTGGTGGTGGTGGTGCCGCTGAGACGGTGGTGGTCCAGGTGGAATCGGGACAGGTAGCTTCTCTCTTGGGGGCGTGGCCCCAGGGGGCGTGGCTCCAAGCGGTGACGCGGCTGCAGGGGGTGTAGCTCGGGGTCGGGATCTCCCGCTCGGAGGGATGGGAGTCAAAAACTCCCGCCCACAGCAGCTTCTCTGTGACGCAGGCGAGGTGGGCGTGGCAGAGACACGGACATGGTGAGTGGGTGGACGGGTGAGTGGGTGGGTGAGTTGGTGGGTGAGTTGGTGGGTGAGTGAGTGGGTGGACGGGTGAGTTGGTGGGTGAGTGGGGGGGTGAGTTGGTGGGTGAGTGAGTGGGTGGACGGGTGAGTTGGTGGGTGAGTGGGTGGGTGAGTTGGTGGGTGAGTGAGTGGGTGGACGGGTGAGTTGGTGGGTGAGTGGGGGGGTGAGTTGGTGGGTGAGTGAGTGGGTGGACGGGTGAGTTGGTGGGTGAGTGGGGGGGTGAGTTGGTGGGTGAGTGAGTGGGTGGACGGGTGAGTTGGTGGGTGAGTGGGGGGGTGAGTTGGTGGGTGAGTGAGTGGGTGGACGGGTGAGTTGGTGGGTGAGTGGGGGGGGTGAGTGAGTGGGTGAGTGAGTGGGTGGGGGGGGGTTGGTGAGTGGGTGAGTGAGTGAGTGGGTGGGTGGGGGGGTTGGAGGGTGAGTATGTGAGTTGGTGTGTGAGTGGGTGGGTGAGTTGGTAGGTGAGTGGGTGAGTTGGTGGGTGAGTGGCGGGGTTGGTAGGTGAGTGGATGAGTGAGTGGGTGGGTGGGTGGGTGAGTGGGTGGGTGAGTGGCTGGGGGGGGTTGGTGGGTGAGCAGGTGAGTTGAGTGGCTGGGTGGGTGAGTGGGTGGGTGAGTGGGTGGGTGAGTGAGTGGGTGGGGGGGTTGGTGGGTGAGTAGGTGAGTTGAGTGGCTGGGTGGGTGAGTGAGTGGGTGGGTGAGTGGGTGAGTATGTGAGTCTATGGGCAGTGTGAGTCCCTGGTGAGTCTGTGGTGAGTGGGTGAATGGGTTGGTAAGTGGGTGGGTGAGTGGGTGGGTGAGTGAGTGGGTGGGGGGTTGGTGGGTGAGTAGGTGAGTAGGTGAGTTGAGTGGCTGGGTGGGTGGGTGAGTGGGTGAGTATGTGAGTCTATGGGCAGTGTGAGTCCCTGGTGAGTCTGTGGTGAGTGGGTGAATGGGTTGGTAAGTGGGTGGGTGAGTGGGTGGGTGAGTGAGTGGGTGGGGGGTTGGTGGGTGAGTAGGTGAGTAGGTGAGTTGAGTGGCTGGGTGGGTGGGTGAGTGGGTGAGTGGGTGGGTGAGTGAGTGGGTGGGGGGTTGGGGGGTGAGTAGGTGAGTAGGTGAGTTGAGGGGCTGGGTGGGTGGGTGAGTGGGTGAGTATGTGAGTCTATGGGCAGTGTGAGTCCCTGGTGAGTCTGTGGTGAGTGGGTGAATGGGTTGGTAAGTGGGTGGGTGAGTGGGTGGGTGAGTGAGTGGGTGGGTGAGTGGGTGAGTATGTGAGTCTATGGGCAGTGTGAGTCCCTGGTGAGTCTGTGGTGAGTGGGTGAATGGGTTGGTAAGTGGGTGGGTGAGTGGGTGGGTGAGTGAGTGGGTGAATGGGTTGGTAAGTGGGTGGGTGAGTGGGTGGGTGAGTGAGTGGGTGGGGGGTTGGTGGTTGAGTAGGTGAGTAGGTGAGTTGAGTGGCTGGGTGGGTGGGTGAGTGGGTGAGTATGTGAGTCTATGGGCAGTGTGAGTCCCTGGTGAGTCTGTGGTGAGTGCTTTTAGAGGTGTTGTGGTGTAGATTCAGCCACCCACGCACCTAACTGGTAAACACGAGGGAGGGGGTGAGGGGTGAGGGGGAGGGGTGAGGGGGCTGGCGGGGGGGGGGGACTTTAGGGGATTTCCCCATCATCGTCGTTCCGGGGTCACGACCTCCACTGGCCGTTAGCAGGCCGGGGCAGCTGCGGGAGCATCAGATGCCCGGCCTGGCTAACAAAAGGCGCTTGGTGTGTCGGAGAGGCTATCTGGGGGATCTTTGCCTTTGTCGCACGCACACAGAGACACCATAGAGACGTGGAGACACACACACACAGATACACACACAGATACACACACACACAGATACACACACAGATAGATACACACACACACAGATACACACACACACAGATACACACACACACAGATACACACACACAGATAGATACACACACACACAGATACACACACACACACACAGATACACACACACACAGATACACACACAGATACACACACAGATAGATACACACACACACAGATACACACACACACAGATACACACACACACAGATACACACATACACACACAGATACACACATACACAGATACACACACAGATACACACATACACAGATACACACACAGATACACACATACACAGATACACACACACAGATACACACACACAGATACACACACACAGATACACACACAGATAGATATACAGACACACACACACAGATACACACACAGATAGATATACACACAGATACACACAGACAGACACACACACACAGACGCACAACCACAACAACAACCGCCAGTCGCCACTAAGTGGCGGTGACGTCACCACGACGCTTGTGCCAGGCTAGGTGCACGTTGAGGCCACGTGAAGTGTCGAAGGCCCGCTGGCAGGAGGCACACGGGGACAGACCCAGCAGGTGCCACGGGTCGACTGACTGAGGTGGCAACCACCACGCCCGACCGCCTTTGTCTCCCCAGTGGCGAGGTTCAGTTCGCCTCTCGGTGTGGTGCGTCCACTGCCTCCTGACTCACTCAGTTTGAGGATCATCGCCGTGACGGGGAGACACGCGGGGAGACACGCTGGGTCCTGGAGACAGACAGGGAGAGAGTTAGACACGGGGAGACACGGGGAGAGAGACACGGGGAGAGAGACAGACAGGGAGAGAGACACGGGGAGAGAGACACAGAGACACGGGGAGACACGCTGGGTCCTGGAGACAGACAGGGAGAGAGTTAGACACGGAGACACGGGGAGAGAGACACGGGGAGAGAGACACGGGGAGACACGCGGGGTACTGGAGACAGACAGACAGGGAGAGAGTTAGACACGGAGACACGGGGAGAGAGACACGGGGAGAGAGACACGGGGAGACACGCTGGGTCCTGGAGACAGACAGACAGGGAGAGAGATAGTTAGACACGGAGACACGGGGAGATACGGGGAGAGAGACACGGGGAGACACGCTGGGTCCTGGAGACAGACAGACAGGGAGAGAGATAGTTAGACACGGAGACACGGGGAGATACGGGGAGAGAGACACGGGGAGACACGGGGAGAGAGACACGGGGAGACACGCTGGGTACTGGAGACAGACAGACAGGGAGAGAGTTAGACACGGAGACACGGGGAGACAAGGGGAGAGAGACACGGGGAGAGAGACACGGGGAGACACGCTGGGTCCTGGAGACAGACAGACAGGGAGAGAGTTAGACACGGGGAGACACGGGGAGGGAGACACGGGGAGAGAGACACGGGGAGACACGCTGGGTCCTGGAGACAGACAGGGAGACAGTTAGACACGGGGAGACACGGGGAGACACCGGGAGAGAGACACGGGGAGAGAGACACGGGGAAACACGCTGGGTCCTGGAGACAGACAGACAGGGAGAGAGTTAGACACGGAGACACGGGGAGACATGCGGGGAGAGAGACACGGGGAGAGAGACACGGGGAGACACGCTGGGCCCTGGAGACAGACAGACAGGGAGATAGTTAGACACGAGGAGACACGGGGAGAGAGACACGGGGAGAGAGACACGGGGAGAGAGACACGGGGAGACACGCTGGGTCCTGGAGACAGACAGGGAGAGAGTTAGACACGGAGACACGGGGAGACACGGGGAGAGAGACACGGGGAGAGAGACACGGGGAGACACGCTGGGTCCTGGAGACAGACAGACAGGGAGAGAGAGAGTTAGACACAGAGACACGGGGAGAGAGACACGGGGAGAGAGACACGGGGAGACACGCTGGGCCCTGGAGACAGACAGACAGGGAGAGAGTTAGACACGGAGACACGGGGAAAAAGACAGACAGGGAGAGAGTTAGACACGGAGACACGGGGAGACACGGGGAGACACGCGGGGAGACACGCTGGGTCCTGGAGACAGACAGACAGGGAGACAGTTAGACACGGGGAGACTCGGGGAGAGAGACACGGGGAGAGAGACACGGGGAGACACGCTGGGCCCTGGAGACAGACAGTCAGGGAGAGAGTTAGACACGGAGACACGGGGAGACACGGGGAGAGAGACAGACAGGGAGAGAGTTAGACACAGAGACACGGGGAGAGAGACACAGAGACACGGGGAGACACGCTGGGCCCTGGAGACAGACAAGGAGAGAGTTAGACACAGAGACACCGGGGGAGAGACACGGGGAGAGAGACACGGGGAGAGAGACACGGGGAGAGAGACACGGGGAGACACGCGGGGCCCTGGAGAGAGACAGACAGGGAGAGAGTTAGACACAGACACGGGGAGGCACGGGGAGAGAGTTAGACACGGAGACACGGGGAGAGAGACACGGGGAGAGAGACACAGAGACACGCGGGGCCCTGGAGACAGACAGGGAGAGAGTTAGACACAGAGACACGGGGAGACACGGGGAGAGAGACACGGGGAGAGAGTTAGACACAGAGACACGGAGAGACACGGGGAGAGAGACACGGGGAGAGAGTTAGACACAGAGACACGGGGATAGAGACAGACACGGGGAGAGAGAAACGGGGAGAGATACACGGGGAGACACGCTGGGCCCTGGAGAGAGACAGGGAGAGAGTTAGACACGCAGACACGGGGAGACACGGGGAGAGAGACACGGGGGGAAAGACAGACACGGACACACGGAGAGAGAGACACGGGGAGAGAGACACGGGGGAGAGACAGACACGGAGACACGGAGAGAGAGACACGGGGAGACACGGGGAGAGAGACACGGGGAGACACGGGGGGAGAGTTAGACACAGAGACACGGGGAGAGAGACCCACAGACTCACACACAGAGACCCACAGACTCACACACAGAGACCCATAGACTCACCACACAGAGACCCACAGACTCACCACACAGAGACCCATAGACTCGCCACACTGAGACCCACAGACTCGCCACACAGAGACCCATAGACTCGCCACACAGAGACCCACAGACACCACACAGACCCACAGACTCCCTACACAGAGACCCACAGACTCACCACACAGAGGCCCACAAACTCACCACACAGAGACCCATAGACTCGCCATACAGAGACCCACAGACTCACCGCACATAGACCCACAGACTCAACACACAGACCCATAGACTCACCACACAGAGACCCACAGACTCACCACAGAGAGACCCACAGACTCGCCATACAGAGACCCATAGACTCACCACACAGAGACCCACAGACTCACCACACAGAGACCCACAGACTCACCACACAGAGACCCACGGACTCACCACACAGATACCCACAGACTCGCCATACAGAGACCCATAGACTCACCACACAGAGACCCATAGACTCACCACACAGAGACCCACAGACTCACCACACAGAGACCCATAGACTCACCACACAGACCCACAGACTCACCACACAGAGACCCACAGACCCATACAATCATCATTACCATCACCACCAACATCATTACCACCGCGCTGGATCGTATAAACTCAGTATAAAAACCCCGTTAGAGAAAGTCACCTGGGCGTCTCACCTCCGATCTTCCAATCACCCGCCATAGTAACGTACAATTTCCACCAACAGCCGCTAACTCTCTCACGAAATGTTTTCCCCTCTCTATCCCACGATGTCTCTCTCACTCCTCCTCTCTCCTCTCTCCCTCTCTCTCACTCCTCCTCTCCCTCTCTCTCCTTCCTCCTCCTCTCCCTCTCTCCCTCTCTCTCCTCTCCCTCTCTCTCACTCACTCACTCCTCCTCTCTCCCTCTCTCTCTCCCTCTCTCTCACTCCTCCTCTCTCCTCTCTCTCTCTCACTCCTCCTCTCCCTCTCTCTCTCCTTCCTCCTCCTCTCCCTCTCTCTCCTCCTCTCCCTCTCTCACTCACTCACTCCTCCTCTCTCCTCTCTCCCTCTCTCTCCCCTCTCTCACTCCTCTCTCTCTCTCCCTCTCTCTCCCCTCTCTCTCTCCTCTCTCCCTCTCTCTCACTCCTCCTCTCCCTCTCTCTCCTTCCTCCTCCTCTCTCCCTCTCTCTCTCTCACTCCTTCTCACTCCTCCTCTCTCCTCTCTCCCTCCTCCTCGCTCCCTCATGACCCCCTCTCCCTCCCTCTCTCCCTCCCTCTCTCACTCCTCCTCTCTCCCTCTCTCTCCCTCTCTCACTACTCCTCTCCCTCTCTCTCTCTCACTCCTTCTCACTCCTCCTCTCTCCCTCCTCCTCTCTCCCTCATGACCCCCTCTCTCTCTCTCTCTCCCTTTCCCACTTTCTCTCTCCCTCTCTCCCCCCTCTCCCCCTTCCCCCCCTCTCCCCCCCTCCTCCCCCCCTCCTCCCCCCCCCCTCTCCTCCCCTCCTCCCCCTTCCCCCCCGTCTCTCACCGGTGATGAAGGAGCGAGGGGCTGGGCCGACGTCCAGGAAACTTTATCTTGATCCCCTTGGCCCAACAGCCCGGCCGGGCTACCTGGGAGCGTGAGGAAACTTTGTCTTTGTGTGTGTGTGTCTCTCTGTGTGTGTCTGTGTGTGTGTCTGTGTGTGTGTCTCTCTCTCTGTGTGTCTCTGTGTGTGTGTCTCTCTGTGTCTCTGTGTGTGTCTCTCTGTGTGTGTCTCTCTGTGTGTGTCTCTGTGTGTCTCTGTGTGTGTCTCTGTGTGTCTCTCTCTGTCTGTGTGTGTCTCTGTGTGTGTCTCTCTGTTTGTGTCTGTGTGTGTCTGTGTGTCTCTGTGTGTCTCTGTGTGTGTCTCTCGCTCTGCCTGAACGTTTCTCCCACCTCTGTCTCTCTGACTCAATCTTTATAGCGCTCTGCGTGATGTTTGCGTCTCTGTGCCACTCCGCCCCTCCCCCCTCTCCTCCCCCCCTCGCTCTACCTGGCGCGAGACGAGTGACGTCACCGCCCAGGTGTTGTCTGGACTTGCCCGGGACACCCCCTCCAAGCACCCCAAGTAAGCCCCACCCCCAACCACCCCTCTAGCCCCGCCCACCGTCAGGGGAAACCCCCTCGTAGCCCCGCCCCCACCAATGTCACCGCGCTCACTTCCCCAATAGCCCCGCCCCCCTCCACCACTTTGCGTGCCCAAAACAGAACGAAAACTCTCACAGAAAACCACCCAAAGGTGGTGATGGTGGTGATGGTGGTGGTGATGGTGGTGGTGGTGGTGGTGATGGTGGTGATGGTGGTGGTGATGGTGGTGATGGTGGTGGTGATGGTGGTGGTGGTGGTGGTGATGGTGGTGATGGTGGTGGTGGTGATGGTGGTGGTGATGGTGGTGATGGTGGTGATGGTGGTGGTGATGGTGGTGATGGTGGTGGTGGTGATGGTGGTGATGGTGATGGTGGTGATGGTGATGGTGGTGATGGTGGTGATGGTGGTGGTGATGGTGATGGTGGTGATGGTGGTGGTGATGGTGGTGGTGATGGTGGTGATGGTGGTGGTGGTGTTGATGGTGGTGATGGTGGTGATGGTGGTGATGGTGGTGATGGTGGTGATGGTGGTGGTGGTGATGGTGATGGTGGTGGTGGTGGTGATGGTGGTGATGGTGATGGTGGTGATGGTGATGGTGGTGATGGTGGTGATGGTGGTGGTGATGGTGATGGTGGTGATGGTGGTGGTGATGGTGGTGGTGATGGTGGTGATGGTGGTGGTGGTGTTGATGGTGGTGATGGTGGTGATGGTGGTGATGGTGATGGTGGTGATGGTGGTGGTGGTGATGGTGATGGTGGTGGTGGTGGTGATGGTGGTGATGGTGATGGTGGTGATGGTGATGGTGGTGATGGTGGTGATGGTGGTGGTGATGGTGATGGTGGTGATGGTGGTGGTGATGGTGGTGGTGATGGTGGTGATGGTGGTGGTGGTGTTGATGGTGGTGATGGTGGTGATGGTGGTGATGGTGGTGATGATGGTGGTGGTGGTGGTGATGGTGGTGGTGGTGATGGTGGTGATGGTGGTGGTGATGGTGGTGGTGATGATGGTGGTGGTGGTGGTGGTGGTGATGGTGGTGGTGGTGGTGGTGATGGTGGTGGTGGTGATGGTGGTGATGGTGGTGGTGATGGTGGTGGTGATGATGGTGGTGGTGGTGGTGATGGTGGTGGTGGTGATGGTGGTGATGGTGGTGGTGGTGGTGGTGATGGTGGTGATGGTGGTGATGGTGGTGATGGTGGTGATGGTGGTGATGGTGGTGATGGTGGTGATGGTGGTGATGGTGGTGGTGATGGTGGTGGTGATGATGGTGGTGGTGGTGGTGATGGTGGTGGTGGTGATGGTGGTGATGGTGATGGTGGTGGTGGTGATGGTGGTGATGGTGGTGGTGATGGTGGTGGTGGTGATGGTGGTGATGGTGGTGATGGTGGTGATGGTGGTGATGGTGGTGGTGATGGTGGTGATGGTGGTGGTGATGGTGGTGGTGGTGATGGTGGTGATGGTGATGGTGGTGGTGGTGATGGTGGTGATGGTGGTGATGATGGTGGTGATGGTGGTGGTGATGGTGATGGTGGTGGTGATGGTGGTGATGGTGGTGGTGATGGTGGTGGTGATGGTGGTGATGATGGTGGTGATGGTGGTGGTGATGGTGATGGTGGTGGTGATGGTGGTGATGGTGGTGGTGATGGTGGTGGTGATGGTGGTGGTGGTGGTGATGGTGGTGGTGATGGTGGTGGTGATGGTGATGGTGGTGGTGATGGTGATGATGGTGGTGGTGATGGTGGTGGTGGTGGTGATGGTGGTGGTGGTGATGGTGGTGGTGATGGTGGTGGTGATGGTGGTGGTGGTGGTGATGGTGGTGGTGATGGTGGTGGTGATGGTGATGGTGGTGGTGATGGTGATGGTGGTGATGGTGGTGATGGTGGTGGTGGTGATGGTGGTGGTGGTGATGGTGGTGATGGTGGTGATGGTGGTGATGGTGGTGGTGATGGTGGTGGTGGTGGTGATGGTGGTGATGGTGGTGGTGATGGTGATGGTGGTGATGGTGGTGGTGGTGGTGATGGTGGTGGTGGTGATGGTGGTGATGGTGATGATGGTGGTGGTGGTGGTGGTGATGGTGGTGGTGATGATGGTGGTGGTGGTGATGGTGGTGGTGGTGATGGTGGTGGTGGTGATGGTGGTGATGGTGGTGATGGTGGTGATGGTGGTGATGGTGGTGATGGTGATGATGGTGGTGATGGTGGTGGTGATGGTGGTGATGGTGGTGGTGATGGTGGTGATGATGGTGGTGATGATGGTGGTGATGGTGATGGTGGTGGTGATGGTGGTGATGGTGGTGGTGATGGTGGTGGTGATGGTGGTGGTGGTGGTGATGGTGGTGGTGATGGTGGTGGTGATGGTGATGGTGGTGGTGATGGTGATGATGGTGGTGGTGATGATGGTGGTGGTGGTGATGGTGGTGGTGGTGATGGTGGTGGTGATGGTGGTGGTGATGGTGGTGGTGGTGGTGATGGTGGTGGTGATGGTGGTGGTGATGGTGATGGTGGTGGTGATGGTGATGGTGGTGATGGTGATGATGGTGGTGGTGGTGATGGTGGTGGTGGTGATGGTGGTGATGGTGGTGATGGTGGTGGTGGTGATGGTGGTGATGGTGATGGTGGTGATGGTGATGGTGGTGATGGTGGTGATGGTGGTGGTGATGGTGATGGTGGTGATGGTGGTGGTGATGGTGGTGGTGATGGTGGTGATGGTGGTGGTGGTGTTGATGGTGGTGATGGTGGTGATGGTGGTGATGGTGGTGATGGTGGTGATGGTGGTGGTGGTGATGGTGATGGTGGTGGTGGTGGTGATGGTGGTGATGGTGATGGTGGTGATGGTGATGGTGGTGATGGTGGTGATGGTGGTGGTGATGGTGATGGTGGTGATGGTGGTGATGATGGTGGTGGTGATGGTGGTGATGGTGGTGGTGGTGTTGATGGTGGTGATGGTGGTGATGGTGGTGATGGTGATGGTGGTGATGGTGGTGGTGGTGATGGTGATGGTGGTGGTGGTGGTGATGGTGGTGATGGTGATGGTGGTGATGGTGATGGTGGTGATGGTGGTGATGGTGGTGGTGATGGTGATGGTGGTGATGGTGGTGGTGATGGTGGTGGTGATGGTGGTGATGGTGGTGGTGGTGTTGATGGTGGTGATGGTGGTGATGGTGGTGATGGTGGTGATGATGGTGGTGGTGGTGGTGATGGTGGTGGTGGTGATGGTGGTGATGGTGGTGGTGATGGTGGTGGTGATGATGGTGGTGGTGGTGGTGGTGGTGATGGTGGTGGTGGTGGTGGTGATGGTGGTGGTGGTGATGGTGGTGATGGTGGTGGTGATGGTGGTGGTGATGATGGTGGTGGTGGTGGTGATGGTGGTGGTGGTGATGGTGGTGATGGTGGTGGTGGTGGTGGTGATGGTGGTGATGGTGGTGATGGTGGTGATGGTGGTGATGGTGGTGATGGTGGTGGTGATGGTGGTGGTGATGATGGTGGTGGTGGTGGTGATGGTGGTGGTGGTGATGGTGGTGATGGTGATGGTGGTGGTGGTGATGGTGGTGATGGTGGTGGTGATGGTGGTGGTGGTGATGGTGGTGATGGTGGTGATGGTGGTGATGGTGGTGATGGTGGTGGTGATGGTGGTGATGGTGGTGGTGATGGTGGTGGTGGTGATGGTGGTGATGGTGATGGTGGTGGTGGTGATGGTGGTGATGGTGGTGATGATGGTGGTGATGGTGGTGGTGATGGTGATGGTGGTGGTGATGGTGGTGATGGTGGTGGTGATGGTGGTGGTGATGGTGGTGATGATGGTGGTGATGGTGGTGGTGATGGTGATGGTGGTGGTGATGGTGGTGATGGTGGTGGTGATGGTGGTGGTGATGGTGGTGGTGGTGGTGATGGTGGTGGTGATGGTGGTGGTGATGGTGATGGTGGTGGTGATGGTGATGATGGTGGTGGTGATGATGGTGGTGGTGGTGATGGTGGTGGTGGTGATGGTGGTGGTGATGGTGGTGGTGATGGTGGTGGTGGTGGTGATGGTGGTGGTGATGGTGGTGGTGATGGTGATGGTGGTGGTGATGGTGATGGTGGTGATGGTGATGATGGTGGTGGTGGTGATGGTGGTGGTGGTGATGGTGGTGATGGTGGTGATGGTGGTGATGGTGGTGGTGATGGTGGTGGTGGTGGTGATGGTGGTGATGGTGGTGGTGATGGTGATGGTGGTGATGGTGGTGGTGGTGGTGATGGTGGTGGTGGTGATGGTGGTGATGGTGATGATGGTGGTGGTGGTGGTGGTGATGGTGGTGGTGATGATGGTGGTGATGGTGATGGTGGTGGTGGTGATGGTGGTGGTGGTGATGGTGGTGATGGTGGTGATGGTGGTGATGGTGGTGATGGTGGTGATGGTGATGATGGTGGTGATGGTGGTGGTGATGGTGGTGATGGTGGTGGTGATGGTGGTGATGATGGTGGTGATGATGGTGGTGATGGTGATGGTGGTGGTGATGGTGGTGATGGTGGTGGTGATGGTGGTGGTGATGGTGGTGGTGGTGGTGATGGTGGTGGTGATGGTGGTGGTGATGGTGATGGTGGTGGTGATGGTGAT